ATGCTCTTCATCCGCTTCCTTGGACCAGCACCACTTCGCCGAATACGGAAAGGGCTTGAAGTGAAGGCCATCGCATGTGTCCTCACTTGCCCCACTGTATCAAAGCAACGGGAAAAGGCTGGGAAATGCAACGCTTTAGTGAGATAGTCAGCATGTTGCTCGTTGGTAGGGATGTACTGCAGATCTAGCTTCCTGTGCTTGACCATGTGCTGCAGCCACATGTGACGTCGCTCCATGTGCTTGAGGCTCCCCTTGAGCCCCATGCCACCTACCACAGCAATCGCAGACGAATTATCGACAAAGAGTGTCGTCGGCTCCTCACAATTGAGCAGCTGAAACTCTGCCAGAAGGAAGCGCAATCTGTGAGCCTCCTTCCCTGCTTCAACTGCCGCAATATACTCTTGACTCAGTAGAGGAGAGAGTGACACAACGAATCCTCTAACTCGACCAAGCAACTGCAGCACCGCCAAACACAAAGACGTAACCTCCTGTGCTGCTTCGGTTTTGCTTGTCTCCTGCATCATCAGCGTCTGCGTACCCAATCAGCTCCAAGGACGCTGGACCCCCACTGAATTCCAAGGTTGCATCCTTGGTCCCCACCAAGTAGGTCAAGCACCACTCCAGCTCCTTCTAGTGCCGATCACTGCGCACTGTCTGTATTGAACCCAGCTTACTGCATGCGAATGCGATGTCAGGGCGTGTGGTACAGGCAGCAAACTGCAAGGATCCCACCTTCTGCCTGTACTCCTCCTCCTGCTTGGAGTGCCACCCCTCATCCTCAAATGTTAGCTCACTGAATGGGTCGGAGGAGAGAGGGGTCCGTGGCATACGCTGAGGCAGCTCCCCTGCCAAAAAGCGCTGCTTCACTTTCTCCACGTAGGCCGACTGGTGCAGCCACAGCTTCCGGGAGGGCCTATCGCGTATCAGCTGGAACCCCAAGTATTTCTCGATGGGTTTTATCTCTCTCAGCTGAAATGCGCCCTGCAGCAGCTCACGCAGCTCCCCCAGCAGGTACGTACTACAGCTGGCCGCCAGCAGGTCATCCACATACACAAGCAACCAGTACGTCTCACCCCCATCCAGCCTCAAGCAGCATCGGGCTCTGCTTGAGTCCGTACAAGCTCTTCAGCAGCTTGCAGATACGAGGAGTCCCATCCTCGTAATACTTGGGTTGTTCCATGTAGAGATCTCTGTCTAGCATGCCATGAAGAAATGCGTTCTTCACATCCAACTGCATCAGCTCCATATCCAACGCAGCTGCCACTGCCAGCAGTATGCGTGCTGTCATGTAACTCCCTACAGGTGCATAGGTCTCCTCATAGTCCACTCCTGCCACTTGAATCCCCTTGACCACCAGCCTTGCCTTCTCCCGCTCCACTCGCCCATCCGGCCAGTACTTGGTGTTCAGGATCCAGCGATTCTTCATGATGTTAACCCCGGGTGGTGGTGTTACGAGTTCCCAAGTCTCCTACTCGAGTAACGTCCGCATCTCCTCATCCATCGCCTCTTCAAAACGGTTGCCTTTCCAGCACCCCAACGCCTCAGGCACTGTCATCTTCCCAATGTCCCACTGTCTCTCCGTGTCACATCCGGATCAAGCTCAGTCCACTCCTCATCCTCGTCGGCATCGTCCAGTCCCAGCTCAACCACCACTGCCCATGCATAACGAACACTCGGAACTCCCCTCGTAATGCGGGTAGAGCAACGCAAGTCTGGAGTAATGGTTCCTGAAGCCAATACGCGACTGCCAGTCCACTCTCCCCTTTCTCCTTCATTCTGCGGCTGCTGGTCTCCTTCGCCCAGCTGCTGGTCTCCTTTGCCCAGCTGCTGCGAATCTCCTTCACCCTGCTGCTGATGCTGCTGCTACTGCAAGCCCACTAGCTCTGTCAGCTCTCCCCTTACTCTCATTTCCCACTTCTGCGCCGCAGTCAGTAGCTGTCCGTCGGTGAGCACAAGAGACGGAGGCTCCAACACACCCCCCTCACCGACGGGCAGCGCCGGCGGAGGGGAAGGGGAGGGTGACGCAGGACTCGTGCTCGCCCATTTCGAGGTTAGTGAGCGCTTGCTCTAACTGACCTATATGCAAGTCGTCTTTCGCCATGTACGTTCACATGACGAAATACCAGGCCCCTAGCCCGGCATCTACCTTCAAGAGACACGCTTTAAGGGCGACTTGCACTTGGGGGGAGCAACAACAAGAAATAATCGTAAACGTTAGTAACTGAGCAGCTCGGAATCGCAAGAGAAGTGCTACTGCGTGTTTCGGAGGAGTAGGGGTGGAGCCGTCGATAAAGCGTTTGAACTGAGCTATCTCGAGCTGAGGCTCAATCGATTCTACCCAAGATGATAGGTCGTGACGCCCTTCTAGCGGCCTAGACACGGCGATCTTGTCAGGAGTGAATTTAAAGCAGCCATAGTCAGGTGCTATCCCGACGTCTCTTGCCGCAGAGCTTTGAGGTATAATGCCAGGCATAACGTCACTATCGCGCTCCTCTACGTGTCCTCCTCCAACAACGCTTCGCCGCCCTATCTCGCCGCGCTCGCGCGATGCTGCCGTTTGATGCACACTCTCTTGAACGCCACCCATACTAGCAGTGCTATCACATACATTTCCTCTGAGAACACCACGAGCAAATCGCCGCTCGCTCGTCACACTAGCTCGATCGTCATCGTTGCTAGACATCGCGGATGCACCTTGCGAAATTCCAGCTTGCGCGTTCTCCGCTACCGGAAAAGAAGGGCGGTCATGTTGCCACCTCGCTCAAATCCCTTCCAACAGTAGCTCATATTGCTCGTCATTAAGCTCTCCGCGAGAACGACGCGTGTGAAGAATCGCCTCTAGCTCGTACAGTTCAGTGACGTCAACATTCGCCTCATCCGCGTTCGCCATTACTACGGCTCTTCTACAGACCAATTATCAGCTAGTATAAACTGCTATTTACTTAATTCCCTCGCCTCAGGGTCACCTCACAAGGGTGCTCAGTCGAATGGTAAATAAATACCAAAAGCCCTATCCTTGGATCCGAGAATGTAACTGGAGGGAAATTAAATATATCGCAACTTACACCAACTATCGTCCTCTGCTACAGCTGTAGCCTTCAAGACGAACGAACAAACGTAGTAGATCTACGACAGTGAAAATAGATAATGCACATGTTCGTTCCTCGCTCACCGCACCATTAAGGAATGCTACAGCGAGAGCGCTTGTAAAGTGTGGAGCGATTCTGACATAGTAACAATATCGGAATAGCGTGCTAGACGCTGGTGGTATTTGGGCAGAGTTCGCCTTCAAGTACTTGGTCGAAATTCGAGTAGAGTATAAGTTCACTAGAAACGTATATATTCAAAGTACAAACAATCATGCAAATATATAGGCAAGTGCAAACCCAACCAAGTTGCGTGGCGTTGTATGTGTAACCAACCACCCCGAAATTGCCGAAGAGTTGGGCGAACGCGCCTCGCCCGATTCCCCAACCCAACTCAGCAAGGTTGGGTTTGCCATGTTCGCAACTCCATCCAGCAAGGCAAAAGCTGCCTTGCTCCGCACGGAAGTCCATCGCGATAGCTACGACTACCCAAGACTCGTCAGAGTTACTGGTCGTCGTCGGCATTTCCGAACCAGTCCGCACAGACTAGACTTAGACTTCGGTTGCAAGGATCAGTCCGTGCACCTTGGTCACGCCAACCCGCAGCTACCAGGCAATCGGTGCACCGACATAAGCCGGTCAACGCCTGGCTGCCCACAGCTGCAGTAGGGCTTCCAACAAATTTGCTGACGTCAGAGCAAAGGGTCGGATTACATCCGTCTTTCTAAAGAGTGTAGTACGTACGAAGGAGGGAGAGAGGCAATCTGATCGCGATAATAACGTACGAAGCAGGCAACAAGCTCGCGGTCAAATTCGTCCTCTAAATACTTCGTGGTATTCACTCAGGGAATCTTACGTGCGTCGCATATGATAAATTTTTAGAATTCCTCGAAAATCACAAATTGTAAGATTCATGAGAATGCTTTTGAGGTGCCTCAAACTCATATGGTAAGATTCGTGAAGCGAGTTTATCTCAGACGGGAAATTTTGTTTTCAGATCCGAGTTCTTATCGAGCGAGCGAGCAATGCCAATTGAGCAGATTCCGAATTTATATGTGTGCTATGGTGGAGCCTGCTAGGAAGCTCCTTAACCCCACCCCCCACATCCCACTCTCGCGAACCCTTCCCCACCCTGCCCAATCGAATCGACGGCTGCGAACATTTGCCTGGTTCGACTGGCTAGGTAGAATCCTTCTTGAGAGGACTCTGACAAAATGGAGCGAGCACCTGGGGATTTTCTCGTCTTACGAGAGAGCTGCAAATGAGCCATACAAGAAGCCCTGCCCTCCCATCCTGTCGAATGTTTCATTATAGTACATAGGAAATTGCGGTGTAATCTACCGTATCGCATAGCATCTAGAAGAATCAATTAATCAACCGTGCTGCACCGTACTATACGCTGGTTATGCCATCATCGAGAAGCCTCGGGTTTGGCGCGGGTTGTGGGTGACAAGGAAAGCACCCAAGTTCAAACACGAGCAGCCCCCACTTCTTATGGTATATCGCACAGATGCAATGACAACAAAAATATAGCGTCATGTTATACCTATTTTCCATAGATTTGTGTATTCATGCATGCTTAAGGGTTTACAAATTAGGGAAAACGGCACGTTAGGCGTTAATTCAGAACGGACATTCGGTAGATACAATAAAAGAGATAGTGAATATGTGAGGATGAAAATCGGAATTTGCGATAATTAATAAGGCAGAAATCGACTAAAACTATCAAAGGCCGACCCATTTAGCTCATTTCATTGTGAACACAGAACATGCACACACCGAGCAGTGTGGGAATAAGGTATAGAATCAACAGTTGAAGAGCTACAACCCAGACGGATTGCTCAATAAGGCGGTTCCTGGCTGCCGTAGCCTCCCCTGGTTCTCGGCGGTTCTCGTCTAGTAGAAGCACAGGCTCACAGTGGACTCGTCTCATCAGTCGGAATCCTGGGAATCGCCTGGAATCGCGTCCCGTGCACGACTCACGCTCAAACAAGCAAGGGAATTCCGCGATCTTCCGTCGAGTAGGTTCTTCCTCGCTCGAAGGATTACGGCGCTGTAGGGAATCAAAACGCTCTAGGGATTTTCGTGGTCTAGAAAGTACGGGAACCAGACTGACAAAATACCCCGGAACTCCTTAGGGGTTTGCTGCATTCTACAGACAGCACGTATTGCTATAGCGGCGGGTGCTATGGCGGGTAATGAGAAGTACGTTCAGGCGACCAACGACGACGCGACCGTCAGCAAACTGTGAGCGTTCTCAAATAACGTGACGGTCGCGTCGTCGTTGTGTCGTGTCGTATTCTCCTGAGACATATACTCAGTATTGTGTGTGTCGTGAATTGGTCTACGTACGGTACTTCCAGGCGACGAACGACGATACGAACGTCAGTAAACTGTGAGCATTATAGGATAACGTACGCCCTCTAAGAATCTATACTCACTTTTGTGTGGCGTAACGCACTTAACGTACGGTTCGTCCAGGCGAGAGGCGAGAGGCGACTGGTGACTGACGACTGGCGACGACGCGACAGTCAGCCAACTGTGAGCTTCGCGCTTTACTGCCGTCTTATCTTGTGAAGTAAAGCGCACAGTTGGCCGTGAAGTCCACCTCCCAGTATTGTTGGCATTGTTGGCGGCAGCACTGGGACCGTGCCCACTCCCAGCACCCAGTTTTTGAGGCGCCTCAAAAACCAGCACCCTGCATCTCCCCTCCCACCTCCTCCTCTCTCCTCCTCCCCTCCCCTCCCCCCCATCCCCCCCCCCTCCCCTTCCCTCTCTCCCCCCTTCCCCAGGCTTTTGTGAAGCTGTTCGTTCGGCGAACGTCTCGAAGGTCCCCTGTCATTTACCGAGGCTACTTCGCCCAATGGGCCGAGCTCCACCCCTCTCCCTCCCCTCGTACCCCTCGTCCCCCGCGTACCCCCCATTCACGGCTTTGTATAATCACACAGTTCCTGTATAATCAAGGGTTACTTCCAGGACCCCTTTGTTTAGCTGTTCGTCCCACGGCAGTCTCGAAGATCCCCCGTGATCCACCGATGCTATAGTTCGCCCGATGTGCCGCTCCACCTCCCCTCCCCCCCATCCCGTTCCCCCTACAGGTCCTGTGTAACCAAAGGTTACTTCCAGGACCCCTTTGTGAAGCTGTTCGTTCGCCGACCGTCTCGAAGATCCCCCGTGATCCACAGAGGCTACTTCGCTCGATGGGCCGCTCTGCAGCAGTTGGTAGACCAGTTCCTCGCCGTTAACGGAGCAGCTAGTAAAGAGGACAAGGCCCCTGGTGATCGAGGTGGTCAACAGGAGTCAAGAGAGTCAGCGGCAGGATCTGAGGTCTCTCTTCAGATCATTTCGCTAGGAGCAGGATTCGATACCCTCTTCTTCAGACTCCAGGTGCGTTCAGTACAACATGCGTGCCTTGAACACTGCCCTTCTATTCAGATGTAACACTGCCCTCCTTCTTCGGATCAGGATTTGGAACCCTCTGCATACCCACTTCTTCACTCCTTCCTGCCGTGCTTAATTGTACTGGCAGACAGAGGGCAGAGCACCCCACAGGTTCATCGAAGTGGACTTTCAAGAGGTGAGGACTTGAAAGTGGGGGGCATTGATTGAGGAAGCTCTATCAATAAGCCTCAAGCACCACGTGGTTTTTCTTCATCAGAGACAAAGGGGAGAGCTCCTGTGTGAGAATAGGTTTATCAGTGGATGTGGATGTGCAAGAGGTGAGGACTTGATTGTTCCGTAGTGAGAAACAGCATGCCATCTCCTCTCCCCTGTTTCTCACCGCCCCAGGTAGTGGTCAAGAAGGCAGCCATAATCAACGCCAAGCCCGAGCTGGCCGCATGCCTGGGCCCAGATGTCACCCCACTAGGTATGCTGCCTGTGTTTCAAAAAATACCCCCTCAGTCTGGATGCAGATGGTAGTGTCCGCAGCAGGCGTGCTGGTACCACTTTGGCCGGATGTGAGGTTCGCGGATGGCCCAAGTGGCCATCCCCTCACATCCCCTCAAATGTGAGACAGGATACGAGAAAGAGGAGAGGAAAAAGGGGGGGGAGCGGGGGAAAAAAAAGGGGGATGAGTGGGGGGGGGTGGGAGACAGTACCATATACCCTCCCTTACCCCATGTATCTCCCCTTTTTCTCTCCTCTTTCTCGTATCCTATCTCAGAGGGCAGCAGGTTTCGGTCCTCAACTGGCTACTCCCTTGCGAACACTGATTGCACAAACTAGCAAGATTGCATGCCCTTTCCTCTCCTCTTGCCCTCCCCGTTCCTTTTGAGGCGCCTCAAAACTTGCAAGATTGCATACCCTTTCCTCTCCTCTTGCCCTCCCCGTTCCTCTCTCGTTGCCTCCAGTCCTGTTCCCCTTGGTCCTCACCTTCGTTCCTCAACAGGCTACTCCCTTGTGTCTGCTGATTTAAGAGACACTGATTGCTTCTTCTAAGGGGCACACTTTGCTCTTCTTGCCAGCATACCCTTTCGTCTCTCTTTTCCTCCCCTTCCCCTCGTATCCTGTATCAGAGGGCGGGGGTCTTCGTTCCTCAACGGGCTACTCCCTTGTGTCTGCTGATTTGAGAGACACTGAGAAACTGCACCAGGCACTCACAGCAGCCGGAGCCGACTTTGGGCCCAAGTGAGTAAGAGATCAGAGGGCCGGGTTTGTGGTTGAAGAACACAGCAGTTGGAGCAGGGCTTAATCCCAACCCAGAGTCAACGGGTGTGTGGGTGTTTGGATAAAACAGCAGCTGGCCCTAGGTCTTCGTGCTGGCTTTGTGGCATTCCCTCTGCTGGAGCAGAGTTCCATCCCAACCCGTTTCAAAAGATGTGCTGGTGTGTGTGGGTTGGATTCTCAGCTTTTTGCGTGCGTGGGTCAAAACACGCCCACCTTTCCCCTACACCACAGTCAATCAACAGCACAGCAACGCTGCTCCTCTGCGAGTGCGTGTTGATCTACATGGACGCTTCTAGCAGCGACAGACTAGTGGTGTGTTTCTCAGTCAAGCCCCGCTCCCTGTTGCCCCACCGCTTCAACCCTCCCCAATCAACGTCACTAGCCTGACGCTGTTGGACGGGATTGGATTGGAGCAATTCTGCTCCTCTGCAATAGCGTGTTGATTCAGCTTTTGAGTCGACTCAAAAGTGGAGCAACGCTGCTCCTCTGCAATAGCGTGTTGATTCACATGGACGCTCCTAGCAGTAACAGACGTGTGGCCTGGGCGGCAGGCAGGTTCAGGCTTCAGCACCTGTGTGCAAGTGTAGACAGATTCAGATTTGCGCATTCGTCGTCTACGAGCAGGTTCTGACTGTTCCTCCCTTCCCTCCCCCCACTGTCCCGCTCATCTCCCCCGCTTCTCAACTCCCAACAGCACAGCAGCGCTGTTCCTCTGTGAGTGTGTGCTCATCTACATCGACGACCCTAGCAGCGATAGACTCGTGGCTTGGGCTGCCGAGAGGTTCAGCACTCCTGGGTTCGTCGTCTACGACCAGATGCTGACAAACCCCCTTCCACCCCCTCCCTCCCCCCTCAAACGGTCAACAGCACAGCAACGCTGTTTCTCTGTGAGTGTGTTGATCTACATGGACGCACCCAGCAGCGATAGACTCGTGGCATGGGCAGCTGAGAGGTTCGGCTGCGTTTGTCATGCACGAGCAGATTCCGACTCTGCCCTTCCCTCTCCCCCCCCCCCACCAACCCCTCCTCACGCTCATCCCACCGCCCCATCCCGAATCCCAACAGCACAGCAACGCTGTTCCTGTGTGAGTGCGTGTTGATCTACATGGACGCCCCCAGCAGCGATAGACTCGTGGCATGGGCAGCTGAGAGGTTTGGCACGGCAGCGTTTGTCATCTACGAGCAGATTCGGCCCGACGATGCCTTCGGGCAGCAAATGATTCAAAACCTGGAGGTACCTGTATAATCGATATTATTCGGTGCCGAACTTGAAAATTCTTCGAATCTGCGTTCTGCTCCACCTTATCTAGAAAGCACTGCGGCCTTAGTGGTCGACATTCAGATTCGGCCCGACGATGCCTTTGGGCAGCAGATGGTTCATAACCTGGAGGTGGGTTGCCTCTTTGTGGGCATACTCTACTATGTATAGAATGCACAGCTGCTGCATAATGGGTTGGTCATCTACGAGCAGATTCGGCCCGACGATGCCTTTGGGCAGCAGATGATTCAAAACCTGGAGGTGGGTTACCTAACATGAAGAGTCCACCATTTTGCTTTTTGGTCTGCGCTATCTAGAAAGCACTGCTGCGTTTGTCATCTACGAGCAGTTTCGCCGGACAATGCCTTTGGGCAGCAGATGATCCAGAATCCGGAGGTATGTTATTGACAAATGTTACATGCTCACAGATGATTCTGAATTCGGAGGTGGGTATGCTAACCCGAGACTGCTGCTCGTTTCTAAGGGGACGTTCTTGGCCGGAAGTTCGGCCATTGCCGTATTTAATTCTGAGGATAATATGTAGTCCTAGTACAAGTGGTTGACCCATTTTTCAACACTTCATTGAAAGACTATTCAATGCTTTCCATTAACTTCATCCGGTCCTCAGTGATCCGTTCCTGTGCGCTGTGTGCCATGCTTTTCACACTCCTCCCATCTACCTGATTTTGCTGGGTGTTTTTGAGAATTCTCAAAATCACCCTGATGACTTTTGAGTCGATTTAAAAGTCAAAATCACCCTGCTTCATCCATTCATGTGCGCCATGTGCCATGTGCCATGCTTTTCACACTCCTCCCATCTACCTGGCAGGCTCGAGGCTGCCCTCTCCTTGGTATCAGAGCCACGCCAACGCTAGACGCAAAGGAGAAGAGATTCCTTGATAGTGGTTTCCAGGTAACGGTTTTGGGCTCTAGGACTGCCAAACCTGAAAGCTTGACCCGATGGTAATACCTTTGGCTTAAGGGTATTGGCTTGGCCCTGTCGTATTGTGTCCGCTTGCTATTGATACGTACTACTGCAGTATGCACTCTGATCTGCACTCTGATTTTTGTGAGCTCCTAAAGCTCTTATCAGGTTTGTTAGCCTGCATATCTGATAAGGTAACCCTATTCCCGACCAGACTAGCAAACCAGTGTACGACAGTGACTTGAAATTCACGCCTCCGTGGTTTATTAAAACATTCTAAACTTTCTCTCTATGTTCTTTGTCTATTCCCACCCCCTTGCAGAGGAGCAAGGCAGTGGACACTGGCACGATCTCCACTTTGTCGGCTGTCGCCCCTACACCAACGCAAAGTTGCCCAAGGGCATACTAAACTTCCTCGATAATTCTTTATATGTTCCTATCCCTGCGTGCAGCAAAGCAAGGCAGTGGATATGGACGTGATCTACTCTCAGCACATCGACCCTCAGCTCATCAGAAAGTGAGAACCACCACAGCACCGTCGCACACATGCTACAGCACATCGACCCACAGCTCATCAGAAAGTGATGCCACAGCACACGCTACAGCAGCATCGCACATACACCACTCTATCATCAATCATTACAGACGCCGCAGCACACGCCGCAGCACACACCGCAGCACACACCACAGCAGCATCGCACATACACCACTCTATCAGCTACACAGCCGCTCCGTTATCAGGGAAAGGATCGGGCCTTGGACTGTTTGAGATTACTCTTCAGTCGACTCAAAGTCATCACGCCATTCTGTCAGCTACTGCAGCCGTTCCGTTATTATTTAAGAGGTCCGCCCCGTGGACCGTTCCACCCCATGTACACCGCAACATTTTTTTTTTAGGAACACAACGAAATTCATGTTCTCTTTTTCCAATACCATCATTTCTCCCACATCCAGACCCTGGATTCTTTCACATGTTCTTTTTCTTTTCCTTCTGCCCGCTTCTACCTTTCAGAATCGAGCCGTTGGAAATATTTGACGAGTTTGAGGAGTGGCATCTAATGCAGGTGCGGCATTCGTAAAAATACTTTTCAATTCGTAGTTGTGTGTGATACCTGATGTCTAACGCTCAATTTCTTGTGTCTGAAAGCACTCATTCTATGCTGTTGTGTCTTCTCTGTACAGGAACACTACTGTATTGCTTACGGAATCAAGGATGCTCTGGTGAGTGTTGTTCCAAACACATGTTGGTTGTTTTGTTATCCTTCGTTTATGAATGCATCACTCTGAACCATTTGTGTTGAGTCTGGCTTGCTTGTTGTGGCATTTGTGTATGTGTAATGTTTACATGCAGGGTGTTCTCCATAACTTTGGGTTCCGTGACCACTCTCACAAGATGTGAAATAGCCGTATTGTGAAAGCTTGCTTGGGTCATCTTGGCAAAGGCAGCGTGCCTCATTTCACATGGGATTGTTTACATGGTTCTCGTCCAATAGACTACACCTACAAATAGGGTGGGTGGGTGGGGAAAACGAAACTGGAACTAGAAGTGAGGAACATGGGTGAGGTCGAATGGCCTCACGTCCCTCTTTTGTAGGCAAAAGAGGGTGAGTAGCGCTTTGACGCTGTCCTTGCTGCGTTGGCCCTCGCTACACTTTCACAATACACATTTTTTATAAAGCGTTACACGCTTTCAAAAGATTACATGATTAGCAATTTGTTCCCTGCCGTATCAAATCCTCAGCAAAACTCATGTTGACTTCAGAGGATGGTTGAGTTGAAACCACGGGCTTTGTCCTGAGTTTGCAGCAACAGCACGTGAGACAGAATCGATAGACACATGAGAATTTGCAGCAATGGTGTCAATGTCAACCATCTTCTTTCATTTTACGGAAGGATTCGAAAAGGCGCGTGAGGATTCCGGAAGTGAATTTTCGAACAAGATGAACAAATCTCCACGTTTTTCCCTTGGGTTTTCAAGCCCAGTCCACCAGCTTGGAAGTGTATAAGCAAGCAGCACACGTGCACTCAATCTGAAAACCTTATAACGAAGACACTCCATTCGGCAGCATACCTTGCCGATCGCCTTGCGTTCCGATCGGCCCGTATGGGCGGAATATTAGAGCTTCTGCTGACGGCTGCCCGCACTGTATCCCTAAACTCCAACTGAAAAGGGCTTTTTTTGCTCAGTTACACCTTCGAAACAAATGTGAGATGCTTGCATGGTTTCAAGACACGTTCGTGGTGTGTGGTTGCAACACACATGTGAGTGAGTGTGGTGCATGGCTGCAGCACATGTGAGTGAGAGTGGTGCATGGCTGCAGCACATGTGAGTGAGAGTGGTGCATGACTGCAGCACATGTGAGTGAGTGCGGTGCATGGCTGCAGCACATGTGAGTGAGTATGGTGCACGGCTGTAACACAGACTCGTCACGTGAGGTGCGTGGTTGCAACACATGTGAGTGTGGTGCATGGCTCCAGGTGAGTGAGAGTGGTGCATGGCTGCAGCACATGTGAGTGAGAGTGGTGCATGGCTGCAGCACATGTGAGTGAGAGTGGTGCATGGCTGCAGCACATGTGAGTGAGTGCGGTGCGTGGCTGCAGCACATGTGAGTGAGTATGGTGCACGGCTGTAACACAGAATCCTCACGTGAGGTGCGTGGTTGCAACACATGTGAGTGTGGTGCATGGCTGCAGCACATGTGAGTGTGGTGCCTGGCTGCAGCATGTTAGTGGGTGGTGCATGAATGTTACGCTTGGTAGATTGATGCATGGCTGCAGCACGTTAGTAAGTGGTGCATGAATGTTACGCTTGGTAGATTGATGCATGGCTGCAGCACATGTGAGACTTTGCACCTTGCATTATGCATGATACATCATGCAACATGCACGATACGCCACGCAACGTGCACGATACTCTATGCAGCGTGCACCATGCACGATAGGCCGCCATGCAATCGACAACAATTAATGCATGACGTGGCATGGTGCAAGGTGCATGTTGCATAGTGTATCGTGCATGTTGCATGCCGTAACGTGCATGTTACATCGTTGATCGTCCGTGTTGCACGGTCTGTTACTCTTTTTGCTGCTGCATCAAACACGCCTTTCTATCGTTGGGCTCACTCCACTTACTTCTGTCCCCGCACTATTTGTTTCATGCCACATGTGCTGCCACAAGAAGTTCACCTGCCCAAAGTCCAGACTTCAATGCGATCATGTCATTTGTTCGACTTATCATCACCCCTGCACCTCCCATGTGCAGGAATAGAACCAGCATCCATCATTGTAATCGGAAACTCAACGACAGGGTTACACCTTATAACAGCTCATGGAACATCGTTGGATTACAATGGCTATTCAGCAGCTCTTCTGTGCTATTCAGCAAGATTATGGCAAAAACCGGAGGAAAGGAGGAGGCTGTTTACAGGTCGCCTCCACTGCGGGATCTCTTGTTGTGATGCTCTAACCTGGAAAGAGCAGAAACGTCTATGACGTTGGAAGGTGGGAATCCAGCTCCTACAGTGCAGAATCCAGCTCCTGCAGTGCAGAATCCAGCTCCTGCAGTGCAGAATCCAGTTCCTACAGTGCAGAATCCAGCTCCCACAGTGCAGAATCGGACTGCCATTGTGCAAAATCCAACTGTCTCAGGTCGCGGTCTAGCTCCTATCATGCACGATTGACCGGACAATGATCCTTCCAGCTGTGGTCTGGTTGTAACTTGTAGCTCCTGAAAAGGAAGGTTTTTTCGGGAACCTCTTGTCGATTTCAGCTGTGGTTTGGTTGTAGCTCAGGCCGCGACGAGAGACCTGCAGAAATTCATCCTTATGGTACAGCTAACACTGTCATAAAGTCACCAGTCCTAACCACTGGGACAAGAAGGGATATCCTCAGGAGAGTTAGGCTCCATATATCCACCTTCCCCAGGGAAAGCCTCCCTAGTACCCTCCTTAGAGAGAGAAGAGGTTCGACAGGGCTATCCCATTGCCACAACACACCCCCCCGCTGGGATAGCAGGCACACCAGGAATTGAACCTTAGATCGCTCTGATACGAAGTCAAGAAGTCACCAGTCCTAACCACTGCGACAAAAAGGGATATCCCCATGAGAGTTAGGCTCCATATGATCAAACTGAAAGAATGACTAGAATGTGAGGAGTACAAGGCATTATAACCTAGGGGGCTGTACTCTCTAAGGCACAACCCTATATGGTCTACAACATCACACACAAATGTGTTTGACACACCCCCTAGACTAGATAGGGGCAGTGTCTGTTGAGAGACAAGCAGCTCAGGATGGCACTACTAGTCCAACCTCTGAGGCAAGGGTCTACAGACCAGTCAACCAAGTACAAACCATGGCAAGAGCAAGACCAGGGCGGCACTACTAGTCCAGCCATTGGGAAAAGGCCACAAGGCCAGTCAGGGTAAACTATATATAAAGGTCTGTACATAATAAAGGCCCTAGCAAGGGAGAGGCTACAGGAACGAGACCTAGCTGTACACAGTGCCACAGGCCCTAGCTGTACATAGAGGAAGAGCGATTCTGCGTGGAGAGTGTGCGACTCGATTGTGATATCCCGCTTATGAATATAGGGCTGTGATGTGTGGTGAGAAAAGCTGGATTCGGAAAAGCTGTAAACTTTTTCAACCAAAAGTAGGATACAGTATCAAAATTAGTAGTGAGTAGAATAGAAGGATATAGGGGTATATAGACTAGGGGCTGTACCCTCTAAGGCACAATAAAGTATAGTCTACAGTAACTACATATGTTACATTTGACACACCCCCTAGACTATATAGGGGCAGTGCCTAACAGGAGAAGAAGCAGCTCAGGGCGGCACTACTAGTCCAGCCTCTGAGTCAAGGGTCTAAAGACCAGTCAAAGGAATACAGGCAAGGCAAGAGCAAGACCAAGGCAGCACTACTAGTCCAACCACTGGGAGAGGCCACAAGGCCAGTCAGGGTAATATATATAGAAAAGGTTTGTACATAATCAAGGCCCTAGCAAGTGAGAAGCTACAGGAACAAGACCAAGCTGTACACAGTGCCGCTGATGATCTTCAGGCGCAAGCGCCTTCGTAAAGATATCAGCTGTGTTGGCACCGGAGGCCAAGTGTACTACGCGGGCCTGGCAACGCTGCTGTAGCTCACGCAGGAGGAAGTACTGCAGCTGGATGTGCTTCGCTCTGCCCTCGAGTCGCGGCTCCTGACATAGGAGGATCATGGCCCTGTTGTCAGCGTACAGGACCGGGGCAGAGCTAGGCCGCTCACCTAAGTCAGTGAGCAAGAAGGTCAGCCAGCGGAGCTCCTGTACCGCCATGGTACCAGCGTAGATCTCAGCCTCACAGCTGGACTGGGCAATAGACAAGGAGTGAGTAGCTATCCATGAGACGGCACCTGAACCAAGGCTAAAGCAGTAGCCCTGCGAGGACCTGAGGGTCTCGGAGTCGTCTGCCCAAGAAGCGTCTGTGTGCCCAGTAAGGACCATTGGCCTACGTCCTCCTAGCACTAACCCCATGCCCGATGTACTTGCTAGATAACGCAAAACCCTCTTAGCAGCCGACCATTGATGTGGTCGGTGTCTGCCTGTGGCCACAAAGAGAGCTAGGATGTTAAAAGGGTATGCGAGATCTGGACGAGTGCAAGTCATCAGGTAGATGAGGCAACCCACCAGCTCTGCTTAAGGACCACTGGGCTCTACTGACTCCTCAGGAATTGGAGCTGAGAGCCTGTGATCTACTGGCAGAGGCGTGGGCTGTGCGGAGGAGAACTGAAGGCCGAACCTCTGAAAGACCTGGCGCACCAAGTGTGACTGTGTGAGAGTGATGGTGTGCGCTGCTCTTTCCCTGGAGATCTGGAGGCCAAGGTAGCGGCGCAGTTCTCCTAGGTCAGTGCTGGTGTGGTTCAGGTGGTGTGCCTTCACGGAGGCCAGTGCGTCCCTGTCTGCCGTGGCGAAGACCAAGTCGAACAAGGATGTAGAATGGGGTCTGGCCAACACGAACGAAGAGCGAGGGGTCTGCAGAGGACGAGAAGAACTGCAGGTCAGCAAGGGTAGCACGCAGTGTGTCATGCCACTCACGGGGCACCTGTCGCAAGCCGTAGACTGGGCGCCGCAGTAGCCACTGGGTTCCAGGAGGGAAGGTTCCAGTGAAGCCCTAAGGGCGGTGCAGGTAGACTTGCTCGTGTAGGCTGCCCTGAAGAAACACAGTGGAGAAGTTGAGGGAGTGTAACTCGTAGTCACACTGTGCTGCTACGTGTAGCAGCGCCCGAAGAGTAGTCATCTTCGGGGTCGGAGCGAAGGTCTGAAAGAAGTCCACCCCCTCACGCTGATTGAAGCCTCTAGCCATGTAGCGCGCCTTGAACACAGGCGGCTCTCCAGGGGGGCGCTTCACCTTGAAGAGCCACCGGCCATCGACTACGTTCACCCCAGGTGGAGGAACTACGTCGACGTAGGTGCTGGTGGATCTCCAAGATGCCATCTCCTGCTCCATGGAAGCTATCCACTGAGAGGCCCAGGGTCCTGAGGTCGCCTCAGGGTAGGTGCGAGGGGTTGGGATGTCGAAAGCGTCTGGGTCACCCTCAGGGACTAGCAGCATGGAACAGAGATGGGGAGCAGCCTCGGACAGGAAAGCAAGCTCGTACTGCCGGTCCTCCATGACGTCACTGCCGAGGGCAGGAGCACCCCCGACGGACGGAGGACGAGCAGGGTCAGA